CTGTTACCAAATACATGAATCATTAAATAATGAAGGGACACATGTCAAATAAAGATGGAGCATTACTCAACATAAAGAGTACTACTGATAGCTGCAACCAGGGTCTCAGGGTATTACAATGAATGTAAAAAGCCCATCTCAAAGGTTACTGCTGCATAATTCTATTTACAGGACATTTTCTACATTAGAAAAATAGAGATAAGAAAACAAATTAGTAGTTTCCAGGGGCTGAGAAAGGGGTTACTCTAAAAGAGGAAGCACTACGAATTCGTTTGTAGACAAAGAACTGTTCTATTCCTATTGTGAAGGTGGTTACACAAATCTACAAGGATCAAACTGAACAGACATATAAACACACAAATACCTGAGCAAGCATAAATAATGCTGAAAACTGCACAAGGTTCCTAGTCCAGCTAAATATATACAGATGCCAAGTTCCTGGTTTTGATAATGGACTACGAATGTGTAAGATGCCATCAGCAGAGGAAGCTGAAAGCGCTAGTGTTACAACCTTGAGTCTACAATTATTCCACAAAAAAAGTAAACAAAAACAATGAAGGAGCTCTCCACATATATTAGCACCAGAAAGAAATCCTACATAAAGTAAAATCTTAAGCAACAGTAAAGCAGGCAGAACAGCGTATAACATGCTACTGATTTTGTAAGGTGGGGAAAATAGTATTGCCTATTATTTGCAAATAGAAACTCTAGCTTGTTTTGTTGTTGTTGTTGTTGTTGTTGATATTGGGGTTCAAACTCAGGACCTTGCACTTGCCAAGCAGGCATTTACACCACTGAGCTATCTCCCTGTCTCTGCAAACATAAACTCTAGGAGGATAATCCATGAACTCAGGTAGGAAGAGAGGTATGCACTAGACTTTTCACTAGGACAGAGATAGATCCTGATTTTATTTATCCATGTAAATGTGTGCTGTTCAATTTTTTTAAACTAGTACATCTAAGCTCTAAGTAACATTTCTGTAACCTCCCCACCACATACACACACTCCCAGTCTCTCCCCTCCAGTTGGCTGGCTGTGCCCCTTCAGTGTGAGGCTAGAGTACCACTGGCCCATCTGGATGCCTCACAGGCACTTGCTGCAAGGATGCCCACTTTTCTGATCTTCTGGGCGATTAACTGGTACTTCTCTCATCACACATCTTACGTCCACCCTGTGTTCTTGTGATCAGGTTCACAACTTATCTTTCTAATTGTGTGTGGTGCCCTGAGGAGATGGGGCTGTACCCCAATTCACCCCATTCTCTCCAAAAATTATTTCTCCAAACTCATACATTTCTTGAGTAAATTTGGTCTCAAGTCACAGAGCTCTTAGTGGTAGAGGGAATTCAATCCAGGTAATCTAGATTCACATTCCCAAGACTCTCACACTAAACAAGGAAATTTCTATCAGTCCTTTAGAAAGCAGTTTTCAAATAAGTCAAATACAGCAATAAAACATAAATACAAAGTGGTATAACTTTGTAGTTCCTGTCATTACTGTGTGTGACCTGAATTTTATTTATTTATTTATTTATTTATTTATTTATTTATTTGTAGGACTCGCTATTTTACTAACTGGGGTGTTTACTAGGTACTATTACTCTAAGCACCTTAAATCCTATCACAAATCACTATAGCTATTTTACAAGTAAGGAGATGCGGGAACAGATAGGTTGAGCAATTTATCCAAAGTCACACAGCCTTATGGATCACAGAGCCAGGCTTCAAAATCAACTGTTTAGCACCAGAATCCATGTCCTCAAACACTAAGGGAGGAGGGTAAAAGTTTGGGACGGAAGCAGTTTCCAGATTCTAGGGTTACTGAGATTAACATCAACCAGGGAGATGTTATATTACTCAACCTCCCAACAACTGGAGGAGGTATTCTAAATTTTTATCCTACTTTAACAACAAGGAACTGAGGTACAGAAAGGTAAAACTTGGTCTCAAGTCACAGAGCTCTTAGTGGTAGAGGGAATTCAATCCAGGTAATCTAGATTCACATTCCCAAGACTCTCACACTAAACAAGGAAATTTCTATCAGTCCTTTAGAAAGCAGTTTTCAAATAAGTCAAATACAGCAATAAAACATAAATACAAAGAACAAAACCTGATTACTAAGTTCTAGCCAGACAGTTTTGGCTGCTGAAGGCTGGGAGCACTGCCCTGCATTTACTCCAAGTGGTAGTTAGCCAACAACTGGAGGGGTGTGCAAGATGAAAGGGCTCAGTACCCTGGCATGAAATACCACATCTACAAAACGTTGCCTATGCATGTATCTCAATTCAAACGCCCCATTCTCCATCTACTGTCCCCCTCTTTCCTTCCCCAAGAATTCAACTCCAAAAGTTCCTAGTCCTTCTTGTGCCACTTGCACTTGTGGCTAATGCCACCTCCTCACATGGGCCTTGCCCCATCCTTGTGCTCCGCTACCACTGCTTCTCTTGCTATGTCACCTACCTGGAAAAACCTCAAAGCTGACTGAGCTCGCTGTCTACCTACACCATGCCTGTACCTGCACAGCAACTTGCTGCCAAGAGCTGCCAACAAAATACCGCATTTCCTTGAACGCTTCAGCAAACTTGCTTGCTCAGAATAGAATTCACAACTGCTTCTCCAACTACCAAACACTCCTATCTTCACTCTCAGCCTAGAAAATGGAAGCAGTCAGGAGAAAGAATACAAACTCCCACCTCCATATCCACATGCACAACTACACTGTGCCCAAGTACTCTATTTTCCATGCAATTACTTCGGCCACATCAACAGCAGGCTCTGTTCATGACCATGATCCACGGGAAACAACGTGAGCATCCTTTGCCGGTAACAGGTGAACAATGCCTACACCACACAGGCTTTCCTCTGCTTGTAATGTTCTAATGCACTGTGTATTAAAGTTTGCACCGCTGTGGGGACAGTGATGGCCAGGGGGAAGGGAAGGCAACAAAATGGGCAGCAGAGAATAATTTTAGGGGTAACAGTATATAGTGTTGACTGTGGTGGTTATGTCAGCCTACTCATAATGCAAAACGCAGAAAAAACTACACCAAAAAGAAATCATTTTACTGAATGCAGTATTTTAAAGGTACTGGTGGGGGAAAAAAACCCAAAACTTGGAGACCTGCTGATTCAGTGCTTTCTCTTACACAGCAAACTCAGCCAAGCCCCAATAGCTGCACTTCCTCACTTGAAATAAACTCAAGTCTTCCCAGGGATAGAAAAGCCAATTCCTTACCAACCCACCAACTTCTCTTCAATCCTTCTGGAGCAACAACTTAGCTGTCCAGTCTTCCCTGCAGCTGCTGCCCTAGGCCTCAGGTGTCTCCGCACTCCCTAACATCAGGAAGCTCTCCCTTGAAGAGCTAGCTACCTACTCACTGAGGCCTTCCTTGACCACCCTGACCAGGAAGGCAGCCCCTCCCCAAATCCACACTATCCCCTCACTCTTTGGCTATACAATATTTATTACAACCTGAGGATATAAGAATTTTCCCCACTTTCTGAAAATGCCATCTAACAGAACTTTCTGCAGTGATAGAAATATTCTATGTGCTGTCCAACACGGTAACTCCAGCCACATGTGACTTGAGAACATTTCTAAGGGGTTGGGTTTCCTATTTAATGCTCATTAGTTTACATTTAAACAGCAACATGGCTAGTAGCTACTGGAACAGATGAAGAACTAAAAAGTGAGCGTTTCATGATTTTGCCAATCTTGTTCAGTGAAACTGTACCTGGAACCGAATGTATTGTCCAATATACACTTTTTATTCTCCAAAAAAACTCAGGTAGCAAAAACATCTATGCTTAAAAATTCTGGGCTGATATTCAGTCAAGACCTTTCAAAACGTGGACGCCACTGTGAGGAGGAAAGATAAAAGAATCTTTGGTGAACAGCGGATGATGGCAGGCTAGAAAAGCTCAAGTCTGCATGTCTTCTAGAGAATAAATGCTCACATTTCTATACCTGTCTGCTCTCCTGGTCACATTCTATCGTCTAACATTTTTACACTTTTCCCCTCAGTATGCTCATTCTCTTAGATTTAAGACAACGCAGCAACTCTCAACATAATGCACTGAGACTGGAGAGAGACCTTGCCTTGCCCAGGGCTAAACTGCCAGTCACAAGGCCACTTGAAGTCTGAGTCCTGACCCGTTCCTAGACCTTTGCCCTTTTCTTGCAGTCTAGCTCTCCGTTGCCCGAGTCTGCCAATTGTCGGACATATACGGAGCCTGACTTTTCTCTATCCGTAAGATTCTCTGCATGAGGCTTTTACCTACACCTCCACCTCACCAGTAACCTACTGGCACCACCTCTGTCCAGCCGATCCCCCATAACCCTGTAGGGGCTCTGCCTCCTTCCCAGGTGGCCCGCTTCAAGCCCCACCCACCAGGATGGCCACGCCCACCATGAAAACACCGCCCAGCCTTCTCTAACCCACCTCCTTCCAGGTAGCCCCGGCCCTCAGGACTCTCCTCAGGCCTACGTCGTCTGGCTGGCTGAAGCCCCCATGGACTCTGCGCTTGCTTCCTCTTCCTCCGAGCAGCCGGCATCTCGTTGCCTGCCTACAATTCTTTCTGCCGCTCTCTCGGCCCCCTCATCGTCCTGAGGCCCGCTCCTCTGCCGCCACACAACCCGCCAAAACCATGGGCCCAGAGCGCTCAACAGGGTAGCCAACCCACCCCCAACGCGACACCAGCAGCCCCACTTGCCTTGCACTCGGCTGTCCGGGACAACACACTCGCCTAGCGCAACACAGCAGGCAGCCCTAGATTCGCGCCAAGGATTTCGCGCGCAGACTTTGGCGGGCAGAGGTAGGGACGACGAGGGGCGGGCTCAGGGGATGTTCGCGCAGCGTCGCCGCGCTGAGGATGCTGGGAATTGTAGTCTCTTGACACAAAGTCGACTTTAAAAATGGTGTAGTGGCGTGAGCTCTTCACACAGTATGCTGGGAAGCGGCCTAGAGCCTACCCTTTCCCTGGATGAGCTGGTGTGGCCGATGGTCCCAGGAGGGAACTTGCGAGGAAAGAGGAAGTTTTGGTGGAATCCTCCGCGCGAGGTACGGCGGGAGGAGAGGCGGGAGGCCGCGCGTAGCATCCCGGGAGCAAGGGCCCGGCCCGGCTTCGGCGCAGGGCATTGTGGGAGATGGACGCCGCTCCGGGTTGGGTAGGTGAGTGGGGGCGGGGGGCAGGAAGGGTGCACATCTGGGGTAGCGGAGAGGCACAGCTGGATGGGACCACATGGCTTGAGAGGGACTGCGGCCAGCGGGGAGCAGGACTGGGAGGGCTAGGCGAGGCGGGAACCAGCTGGAAGGGGCTCCAGGGGGAGGGGAAGAGCAGCTGGACGTGGGGGTGAATCTGAGGTGAAGAAACCTATCTGAGGACAAGGGGCCATGTCTGGAACGAAGCCGCACGTTGGAGAGAATGGTGAAAAGGAGGCCACGGCTTGAAGGGGCAGGGGTCCTAAGAGGAAGTGTACCACAGGAGAATATCGGTGACACTTCTCAGTTTAATTGGTCACAGTGGGCCACGCACGTGTAGGCAAAGGGTCCATATTGGAGGTGGGGACTGCATATCTCATCTCTGGGAGACTGGAGCACAGCTGAAGGTAGTGACCTATTGGGGCTACATCTACTGGAGAGGCAACAACTGCATATCAGACATCTGGGGGGAAGGGAGCCACAGATGCATGCCTGGGGTTGAGGAATCTGTGCCTGGATGCCAGGAGGACATCCGGAGATGAAATGCCTTTAGAGAGTGGTTCAGATGCTGTGAATTACAGCAAAGTGTAGGAAGTCGGAATCCCTGAGGAATGGGGAGCACTAGTTATCACCAGAGATAGAGGACACTTCTGGAGAGTGAGGAGATCTTAATTTGATGTTCGGAGCACATATAAAGAATTGTTCACAGCTAAGCTTAGTGAACCTTCCCTGTACCTAGACACCTTCTCACAGTTAGGATTAGGCTCCAACAGAACCAGGGGACAACACAGTGATTAGGAGTCAACAAAGATGAGGTGGAGGTTTATATCTGAATAAAATGTTTGCATCCAGTCCAAGGCCCTGCATTGATTAAGACACCTGCACTGATGGTGCAGGCTGAGAATGGAGAAAATGAGATACCATGTGGGGATGGGTTAGATATCCAGCTCTTCTCCCCCAGACCCCTCAAAGCCGCAGGATGGAGCTGCCAGAGCCCCCACCTTACACAGTGGTGGGGAAGGAGGAAGAGGAGCTGCTGAAGCAAGCCTTCTCCTGGGCTGAGTTCAGCCGCTTCTTTGACAAATGCTGCCAACAGCTGTTGGTGATGTTCTTGGTCAAGAACTCCACGCTTGTGGCTCGCAGCCCCTCGGCCAGTGTGCCCCCACTCTACAGGCTCATCCACATGCTCAAGTACAGTTACGTGCTGCTGGTGTGCAAGGATATACGCTCACCCAACCAGCCTGCAGAGTGGTGCGTGAGCCTGAGCCTCAGCCCTGTAGGGGGGAGGGCCTGGGAGAGGCAATGAGCCCCCCACGCTGAGTTGGGAGGGAGAGAGGCTGACTGAGACTGGCACCAAGTTCCAAGGAAGGGAGTCAAAGAGGGATACTTACTGAGAGGAGAGGCACCAGGGAGCCAGAGAGGCAAAGCAAGCACAATTTACAGAAAGAGAGGGAGACAGAAAGACAGGAACAGAATAAAGAAAGACACAAAGTTTGGAGACAAAATCAGAACCACCAGAGAGAGCCAGGAAAAGATAGTCAGATTTTATACACAAAAGGAAAAAAAACTGTGAGACTGAATTTTAGAAAAGCTACATGACAAAGGAAAAGTTTCCTCTATTCAATAAATACAGGGCCAGGTCCCATGCTGTGAGCTGGAGATATTTTAGTGTTTGAGGAGGAGAGTTGAACAAGAGCCAATATCTGTGCTTACTGGACTTTCTGACTGGATAGGAAGACTGATAATAAGAGAGATTCACAGGTAGTTTACCCCAACTGCATAATGCTGCAGTGAGGAGCAGGTGAACCATCCAGAAGTGCTGGAAATCATCAGGGCCAGGATTGTTTCCACTGATCTCAATAATAAACTGAGACTGTTCCACAGAGTATTGGGCTTCTAGCTTCCCTTGAACAGGAGGGGAGGCAAATCCATGTTTGCAAGTAGCAA